TTAAGAGTTTTTAAGAGTTTTAGCCAAATGCTTTATAATATAGTATAGATTTATCCGTTTCTTTAATCTAAAACGGTTCATGGATAAAATGGTAAATTCCTATTTTAAACTTTCATTTTAGGGGGTGTTTTTTTTTGTAAAAGTGTTTATTAACTTATGTGGTATCAAACCGGAGTTTTGTAAAAAGTGTTTGGATTAGCTTATAGCGGTACCAAACTGCAATAAGCTGATAAGTTGTTTTTTAGTGTTTGGCAAGTTTTGCTTATATCTGTAAAATGACCAAAAAGGACAGGAAGAAGATTGATGTTATCCGGAGAAGGGAGAAGATTTATATCGATGTTATCCGGAGGAAAAGAGATAGGTATAAAGGGTAATAGGGTTAAAATGGTAAACTGGTAATAAGCAGTTTTTCATAAGTCAGGACGGATTAACTTATCAAAAACTGCTTATTACCGGTTTGACACCGGTATTAGCAGTTTTATTTTTTCTTATCCAAACACTGGGTATTAGCTTATAACCGGTGCCCGACTAAAATAAGTCAATAAGCAATCCCAAATGGTGAAAGTTAACTTTTTGCAAATTCTTGAGCTCATGTACAGAAATTTTCGATTCATGATGCAAATTTGTTTACTACCTTGGAGCGAAGGCTGCCTGTCTGATTCAATTGCTATGGTTTCATCATCTATGGGTTCTGGTTGTCGATGTGAATGGGATACCTTTGTGAATTTTAGATGGGGGAATGAAAGAAAAAAAAAATAGTTTTACAATGCGAGGACTGCAGAAACAATCACAGTTTGAAATTTGAAGTTTGTTTTTGTGGAACTTTCGGTGGGTGTGATATTCTTTTCATGGTGATTGTGACAAGTTTAAGAATCATGCATTCCAACTGTTTGATGTTTTGCCAGGCGGAAAAGTTTATGCTTGATAGTACAATGGTGTGATTAATGATGAAGATATGGACTGGTTCTTGTATTGTTCAACAAGCTTGCTAGTTCTTTCTTTGCGGGCATTGCTTCAGATTTGCAGCTCAGTACTCACTACAATAATTAACTTTATAGAAATTTAGAGGGAGGATTAGGCGAGAGGTTGATACGCAGAAGTTCCAAGATCATACGACTGATACTAATACCACACATCAAAAGGCATGTGGTCCACTTGCTGAATGTGACCAAATGTCGCTGGCTATATGGCGGTCAATGCAACATGTGTTGTATCATATATGTAACAGCTCGTCCCACGTGGATAAAAAATGATTTTTGAGCTACTTACAAGACTCAAAGTTGTGAGTTACTAATAACTTCTACCATGGTTTTAAGTTGGGTTCGAAGTTATTGGGTCAACCTGTTGCTTTGGCCTTTGGAGAGACAATATATGATTACGTGTTTGTATCATATCTTTTTGTTTGAGCATATGACCTTAGAAATTTATGGTATTGTTTTAATTTAAGCGTACATACCCATAAGTTGATAACTGAAAAAGATCAAGTGTTTGAAGGATTTGGATTCATAAAGTTCTTGATCGAAGTGGGACGGTTAAAATATGGAAATACACCAAGAGTTCGTCTGTTTTTGCTGGCCGATTTTTTTTCATTGGTGATCCCATACTTTAACCACATGACATCATCTTCTAGATTCATTAAAATATTTGGATGGCCATGTTCATTCTGGCTTTAATATGCGCAACTTGCTATCTGGTTTATATAATTTAAAATAAGAGGTTGAAGAAACCAATGAATTTGCAGGTATTTCTTAGCATTTCCATTGGTCAAGGTACAACTGGACCCATATAAATTTCCATCAACGTCTTGTACATCATGCTCTCCTTTACCTGCATATAAGATGTTTGATACCATTAAGAGATGATGCTTGTTTTTTTAAAAGATGCTGAAGTCTGAAGTCTTATTTCAATTCTTATTGATAAGAGGTGGTGCAGAAGTCTGAGAGCATGATCAAAAAGACTCTTTGTTATTGTAAATAGATAAATATATATTCGAATGAATATATCACATAATCATCCTTTAATTAGTTTTACCAAACCAGGTTTCTTCTTTTATTGCTTTGATTTTCATATTTATTAAGGTTATACTTACAGATGGTCCTCATTTTACAGGCAGCTTTCACCAATTGCAATGGCGAGTTCATCGTTTAAATCCATTAGTAATCATAAATGGGCATACGATGTCTTTGTGAATTTTGGAGGTGACAATAACGTTAAAAGCTTTGTGGATCATCTTTTTAGCGATTTCAAACGCAAAGGAATTCGTGCTTTTAGAGACGACGAGAAACTGCACATAGGAGAAGATAGATCTCAACAAGTCTATAGAGCCATTGAACAATCAAGGTTTTTGGTGGTTATATTCTCTAAAAACTTTGCTTCCTCACCATGGCGTTTGAGAGAGCTAGTAAAAATCTTTGAGTGTAAGGAGAAGGAGAATGACAAATATCAAATCCACACGATCTTTTACAAGGTCAAGCCAGAAATGGTGCTTAATCAAATTGATAGCTGTAAAGCAACCTTCAGTAAACATGAAACCATAGAGAAAAATGAGGTGTCCCTATGGAAGGGAGCTTTGACCATGGCTGCAAACTTACCCGGATGGGATCTGGAAGATCTAGCCCATGGGTAATCACTGAGTGATATTTCCTCTCTCTCTCCCTCTCTCTCTTACACACACACACACAAACAAACACACACACACACACACCTATTTTTCTCCCTTACTTCCAATTCATATAGTTTCAGATGGCACCGTCACAAGCAACACAACAAAATTGGGTTATAGGAGACCAAAAGTGTCCTGATAGATTACTTTATAGGACTTGAGTTTATGAGACCAAACACTTTAGTGTCCTATCTAAGAATGTTGTAATAAGTTTATACCACACTTTTGGGTGTCTTATCAAGCTTTTTAGGAGACTTTTGAAACAAAGTGTCACATTAACCCCTTCTAAAGGAATTTTTTTTAGAAGGTGTCCTATGAACACATCTTTTTATAGGACACTTGTGTTGTAAGACATTGTCTCAAATAGTGTCATATAAAAGTGTTAATACGATACTTTGTTTCAAAAGTGTCCTAAAAAGCTTGTTAAGACGCCCAAAGCGTAGTATAAACTTATTACAACACTCTTAGATAGAACGCACGGCTGTGTGGTCCTATAAACTTAAGTCCTACAAAGTAGTCTTTTAGGACACTCAGATATTTTTGGTGTCCTATAAACCCTGAATTTGTTGTATTGAAGCCATCACAGCTTGTTATGATTTATGGTTCTTTTAGTAAATTTTTCAACTCACCATATGTGTATTCTCTTTATGATGGGCAGCTACGAGTCGAAGTTTATTGATATGATCTCAAAGCATATCTTCAATGAGTTAAATGATGGACCCTTACATGTTGGTGTGAATCTAGTTGGAGTACATTTCCGTGCAGAGCAAATGAACTTATTGCACTTTGCTGAGGCAAGTGAGGTTCACATGATTGGAATATGTGGTGTCTGGGGTATAGGAAAGACTTCAATTGCCAAAGCTGTTTACAATCGATTGTATGTCCATTTTGAAGGCTGCAGCTTCTGTGAAGACATCAAAGGGTTCGTGAAAATGCATGGTGGCATGATTCAACTTCAAAGGCAAATTATTGAAGACATCACAAAAGCGGATATGAAAATACGGAGTGTTGGTGAAGGAAGTAGTGTAATGAAACGAATCATGGCATCAAAACAGGTTCTGGTGATTCTTGATGAAATTGATCAACTGGACCAGTTAGAAGCTCTTGCTGGTGCTCATTGTTGGTTTGGTCCAGGGAGTTTAATTGTAATAACTGGAGAAGATAGACAGTTACTACTTGGTCATGGAGTGGAAAAGATATATGATGTTGAACTTTTAAATGATGATGAAGCGATGGAACTTCTTAGTCTGTATGCCTTTAAACAAAAACATCCTAAAGAGGACTTCACATGGCTCTCTAAACAAGTAGTTCAATATGTCAAGGGCCACCCATTAGCTCTTAAAGTTTTGGGTTGCTTTCTGTTTGGCAAGACTGTACATGAATGGGAAAGCGAGTTAGATAGACTTCATAGACATCATATTGATGACATGCAAGGGCTGATATCTCGTTATTCTTCAAAGAAGAAACAAAAGGTCGTGTAGTTGAAATACTAGTGGATGCTTCTTAGAGTGTCGTTTGTGGAGGAGTTTTTTGATGTATTGAATAAAGTTAAGGTACAACAAGACTCTTCTTGCTCTATGCCTTCTTCATACTATTGAAGATGTTGTCATCCTTTTCTCTCTTTCTTGATTATTGCATAATATTGTCCTCTGGGTCATGCCTCTAAACTTGCTGTCTTTCCTCGTTTTGTTTTTAGGGACCAGAGTTGTTGAAGGTTTGGTCCTGGACCTCAGATTAGGACAGCCCTTACAAAGGGTGAATAACCTTAAACTTCTGAAGGCCCTATATATAGGGTTGGGTTTAGGGGAAACTTGATAACCATTCATTTGTCCAGTATGCACATGTGTATAAAAGTAATTTGTCCGGTATGCACATGTGCATAAAATGCAAAGTTGCATAGAAACCACATGCTTCACAGGGTTTCATATAAACAGAGAGCCATCTGTCGGAATACTTATGAAGCTCTTTGTCTTGAATTTGTAAAAAATCTAGTAGCATGAAACTGGAATCTCTTCAAGTTCTCAACCTCTCCATTCGCTATAACTTGGAAACATTGCATGGGTATAGATATATTTCAATTGTCGAGCCTTCACCTTGTTTAAACAAAATGAATTATTCTCTATTTGCTATTTCCTTCTCTGCCAGGCTTTTGCATGTTAAGAGATCATGGTATTAAGCACTGCAATCATCAGAACATCATCTGAGGTTTGCATGGGAATAACTTTAGTAGCTTATTTGCAATCTTAATTGAAATTCCTCAAGGTCTAGTTGTACACCATTGATGTAATCTCACTAGGGGGCATTTGGTTTGACGCAATGCTTTTGAGAGATTTTGATTTCATGGAAGGATTTGGAATCTTTGGTATGTTTGGTTTGTAGGACTTGGAATGGAATTGAATTTCCTTCTTTATAGATATAAAAATAATTAAATTACCTTTTATTGATTGATTGTTACAAGACAAATGTTTTTAACATATCTTAAAACATTATTACAATCAAATCTTATGAAATCCTGTGAAATACCGACTACCGCCATGGAATTTCTAGATCCAATGTTTGTGGAATTTCATTGAAATCCCGGAATTTCAATTCCGGACTTTCTTTAAACCAAAGACAGGATTGAAATGGAATCCAATTCCAAATCCCGCATACCAAACGGACAGGATTTCACATCTTTATACTGTCAAGTGACAAGATTTCACATCTTTGCTGTTAATGTTTTCATCTGTCCAAAATAGTTTAGAATCAATCCATCCAAATATTCCTGGTTACATCAATGTCCCTTCCATAGGTTCTCCCTTTTGAATTGTCTCCGTCTTATCATGTAAATGCATTAACCAGGAATAGTTGTTCCAAGAAACAACGAAATAAGTCTCTACCTCAGATTTTTCTGGTCCGAAGATATTATACCTTGATACAGATAAAAGTTAAGGAATAGGTAAAAGTGGCATCAGATCCATAAAACTTTCACTTTCAATTATGGTAAATGCTTATAGTACAAATGCTTTTATGTTTACAGTAATAACACATTATTAAAGATTGGACAACTGACAGAACATATTAATTATTAGATTTGACAAACAATACAAGAGCTATTATATATATATATATATATATGTGTATGTGTGTGTGTGTGTATGTGTGTGTGTATGTGTGTGTGTGTATGTATGTATGTGTGTGTGCGTATAATTTTACTTTACATCAAATGCATGCTTGCATCCACATGCAACTTACAGTTGCATAGAACTTCTTATGGCTATAGGAACCAAATCATCTAAACGATTAAACAAAATAAAAACATGCAACTTGGTTAGCATTTTATCATTAACATATGCAATCTTCATTGTACAGGGACGCATCAACCCGTGGATAGAACTGAAATTATTTTTTCCGGAAGTGAGCATCCAGAATACTGTAGCAATCCAAGAATTGGAGATTGTCTAGACATGCGGTTACCTCCAGATCGGTGTTACACAAGGTTAAGGAGAACTCAACGTGATCCTTAAGGCCACACAAATAAAGTCATCGGTATGCTTTCAAGTGAGGATCTTTCATGGTGCTACTGCTGATGGGCTTATTTTGATAAGCTATATATCATAGTGTCTAAATTAGATCAGATATACTCGAGTTATCTCAGTTACCCAGGATGGTCCATGGACATGAAAGAAGAATTATATTGTGGTTTCATTTGAAGTCGCGCTCTCTCTACATGCCAATCAAAATCATATAAAAATTGAATTTGGGACTTAGATTTTTCTTGTTATCCCTGTTAAAGTTTCAGCTAAATATAATTGTTGACTTTGTTGTAATCTTTCTCAGAAATTTCCTTCTGCATATTTGATGTATCTACTTGCTTCAATATGTTACATTGCATAATCTCTGGATTCCATTGTTCTTTGATATCATAATTAGTTAAATCAACTAATTGAGCAAAGTCAACTGTAATATTTCAACTGAATATAATTGTTGACTTTATTGTAATCATTTTCTGACTTTTTCCTCTGCATAGAAACTCCCCACATGTGTCTAGTTGCTTCAATATATTACATTGCATAAATCTCTGAAATCCATCGTTCTTCGATGTCATATTAAGTCAAATCAACCAATTAAGAAAAGTCAACTATAATCATATCAACCCTTCTTCCTTGTTTCTGCTTTGATTTCTTAGCAGGTCTCTTATTTATTTCACTGCTTTTGTCCTCCATTGATCAAAATTATTTCTTGTATAAGAAGTTGGAGATTTCTGGTGTGTATCAGCTTTCGTTATGATGGCATCATCATCTTCACATTCTGCTCACCGTTGGACGTATGATGTTTTTGTGAGTTTTAGAGGTGAAGATATACGTAGAAATTTTGTGGATCATCTCTTTAGTGATTTCAGAAGGAAAGGAATTTATGCTTTCAGAGACGATGATCGATTAAAGAGAGGAGAAGAGATATCATCTGAACTCTATAAAGCCATTGAACAGTCAAGATTTTTGATAGTTATATTCTCAAATGACTACGCTTCGTCAACATGGTGTCTGAGGGAGCTTGTCAAGATCCTGAAGTGCAAGGAGACAGAGAAGGACAAATATGAAGTTCGGGCACTGTATTACGATGTCACACCTGCAGTGGTGCAGAATCAAAGTGGTAGCTACAGAGAAGCATTCATGAAACATGAAGCTTCTAGAAGAACAGAGGTTCCTGAATGGAAGGAAGCTTTGAAACTGGCCGTCAACCTATCTGGATGGGACCTCCAAGCTATCCCCAATGGGTAAATCCGTAATGCTTAAGTTTCTATTTTATTAGCTATGTACTTTGATATCATGTATGTACATGTGTAATCAACTGTTGGAGTACCACATCAGCTAAACACGGACCATCAAGCCTGCATATATGTAGGAACCTTCCCCCTCTCTATAAGGGCTCTTTAGAGAGGTATCCGAAATGGTTTCACATATTCTAATACGGTATCAGATTCGGGTTCTAGCACCATCTATGGACTCGACACACTCTTTCACATATGATCTTAGGGTAATTGTCTAGCCTCCGTTGAGGGGGAGTATTGAAGTCCCCTATCAGCTAGACACGAACAATCAAACCTGTATATATGTAAGACCCCCCCCCCCCCCAAAACACTCTCTATAAAGGTGTGTTTGGTACACTGGACAAGACAAAACAGATTAGGGATCATTGTTCCACGTTTGGCTAGATTTGTATGTGGAACAGAGTCGAAAAAAGTGAAACAAACATGTTCCACCCCCACCCCATGGAACAAGGTGGAACAAACCTATGTTTTACCGATATAACCTCAAAATAACACCTAATTTTATTCTAAAACATCAAATACTTCTCTCTGTTTACATTTTATTCATTCTTTAAATTTTATTTATTGTATTTTATGCTCTTTAAACTTTTTCTCTACTGTCCTCAAAATATTATTTTTATACGGTTTTCATATTTTGATTTATATATGTAATTTGTTAAATATTAATAATAAAATATTAATATAGAGACCAAAAGGCCTTTGGCCTAGTGGTATGCAAGTCTTTGGCCTCCTAGGAGGTCAAGGGTTCAAATCTCACCAAAAGTGAGGAGGGTATGTGAGTTTATTTGTTCTATTTGCCGTATATAAATATTATATACTTCAAAAAAAAATATTAATATACAGAAGATATAAAATAAAAATTAGAAACTACACAAAAATTTTATTTTTTCCATTTTTAATTGTCTTGACGAGAACTTTATAATGATATATTTTGTTGTAAAAAATATTTATTTTATGATAATTTAATATTTTACATAAATTAATCAAAATATATAAAATATACAAACAACTCATTAGGGGTAAATTGGTCATTTTATTTGTTCTGTCTTTTCCATTTATGTCTTATCAAATACCGAACATTTGTTCTATCATGTGTTGTCCTATCCTATCTTGTATGGATACCATGCACACCCTAAAAGCTCTTTTATAGAGAGATTCAAAGGGGTTCCACTTATTCTAACATCAACAATACCAAAGTTCTCCATTTTCTTTGTCTAGAAGTTGGTTATTGTTTTGTCAATGATTTATGTTGAAGTCTCACATAGGATCGATACGGACCACCAAAACCTGTATATATGTTGGAACCTTCCCTCTTTATAAGGACTCTTTTGGAGAGAGAATCAAAGGGGTTTCACATATTCTAACAATTTATATACTAGCGTACATGGTATGTTCTTTTAGCTTTTTCCGCTCGTAACTGTAGCATGTTCATTATGATTTTGTAGGCATGAGCCAAAGTTTATAGAAACAATTTCAAGAGAGATATTTTATGGACTAAGCAACGGGCCCTTAGATGCCGGCGAAAACCTCGTGGGATTATACACCCGTGCAGAGCAAATGAACCTTTTGCAATTTGTGGGTTCAAGCAAGGTTCACATCATAGGAATATGCGGCATTGGTGGAATAGGAAAGACAACCATTGCCAAAGCTATATATAACCTACTGCATATACATTTTGAAGCATACAGCTTTTGTGAAGATGTTAAAGGTGTTGAAAAACGGCATGGGTTAGTCCATCTTCAAGAAAAGCTTCTTGAGGACCTTATGAATGTAGGCAATCTTCGAATTCGTAGTGTAAGTCAAGGGATCAACATAATGAAGAGAAGTATGCGGGCTAAAAAGGTACTTGTTGTACTTGATGACGTCGATCATTATGACCAATTTGAAGCCCTAGTTGGAGTGCCTGCTTGGTTTGGTCCCGGAAGTATGATTATAGTTACTGGTAGAGATAGACAGTTGCTAAGTGCTCATGGGGTCGAAGAAGTATATGAAGTGGATCTTTTATTTGATGATGAAGCTCTCGAGCTTTTTAGTCTGTATGCCTTTAGATATAAACACCCAACAGAAGAATTTACAGATATTGCTAACCGGGTAGTTCAGTATGTTAATGGACTTCCTCTAGCTCTTAAAATTTTGGCCAGTTTCCTATTTGGAAAGACTGTAGAGGAATGGGAAAGTGAACTGAAGAAACTCCGAAGATATCCTAATTCTCAAATACAGCAAGTACTCCGAATAAGTTATGATGCTCTAGATTTTGATCAAAGAAACATCTTTCTTGACGTATCTTGTTTCTTCAAAGGGGAGAAGAAAGATTATATTATGAAAGTACTAGATGGCTGTGATTTGTTTTCTGCAACTAATATCAGAGTTCTTATTGATAAGTCGTTAATATCAGTTCGTGAAGATAGACTGGAAATGCATGATTTGGTTCAAGAAATGGGTTGGCAAATTGTACATGAAGAATCTGAAGAACCCGGAAAGCGCAGCAGATTGTGGTTTCCGACAGATGTACGCACAGTATTAAACAAGGATAAGGCACGCAATATTTCTTTATCATAAACATGTTTAATATATCATATACAAAATTTAGTTTGACATCTAACATGTAACCGGGTCTTCTCTCTGATGTCCAGGGAACTGAATTCGTTGAAGGCCTAGCCTTGGATGTTGCGAAATCAGAAGTCAATATTTGTGGCAAAACCTTCATAAAATTGATTAATCTTCGATTACTAGACCTTTATATTAGAGACTGGAATAGCCTTAGAGATATCAATGGCAAAATTCGTAAGAGTAAATTAGGGATAGAAACTAAGGTGAATGCAACTTCTGGGAAGCTTGAATTTTTGTCCAGTGAACTTCGGTTGTTTGTTTGGCATGGGTACCCTTTCGAGCATTTACCAGCAATGTTCTACCCTGAAAGCCTTGTTATCCTTGATTTGTCGTATAGTCGCATCAAAGAAATTTGGAGCGGATCAAAGGTATACCCATGACAATTCTCGTATGCATGTGTATAATGACATTTTTTTGCATATTATTCTATCATGTAAACCGCTTCCTTTTACTTCTTGCACATAGGGTTTCAAAAAGTTGGTGTCGATTAATCTCCGCCAGTGTTGTAACTTGATAAAGACACCAGATTTCACCGAAATTCCAAATCTTGAAGAGCTAATACTTGATGGTTGTAAAAGTTTGAATGAAGTTCACCCCTCTGTCGGAACTCTCAGCCGTCTGGTTGTCTTGAATTTAAGAAAATGTACAAGTCTTGGGAATCCTCCAAACTGCATTGGATTGAAATCTCTTCAAATTCTTAATCTTTCTGGCTGCAAGAAACTGGACAAATTTCCTGATGATATGGGCATTATGAAAGATTTAGTGGAGCTTCATGCTGATGGGACTCAAATTGTGCAACTCCCTTCTTCTGTATCTTTTCTTGGCAACCTTCAAGTATTTTCACTAGGCCAACGAGAAGGGATCCAAACTAAATCGTGGGGTTCGATCCTTTGGCCTACATTCTTGCCAAGCAAGATGCACCATTCACCGAGTGCAGTGTTTCCTTCTTTATCAGGTTTGCGTTTCTTAAGAAATATTGACGTTAGCCACTGCAGCCTAACAGAAGCAAGCCTTGATGGCATTGAATGTTTATCGATGCTTGAAACTCTGAACCTGAGTGGGAATGATTTCACAAGTTTACCTAGTTTCAGTCAACTTCTTCGACTTGAAACACTTGGGCTGGTTGGATGCAAGAAGATCAAGGCATTGCCAGAACTTCCACCGAACATTCAATTGATTGAGGCACAGGACTGCTCATCTTTGCAGGAATTACCAGAGAAATTAACCATGTACAAAAGTAGCATTCAGTGCTTTGACTTCACTAACAGTGCGAAATTGATTGAGAATCAAACCATCGAAAGCCTGGTTACAATGTTGCTGCCACAGGTTTTCTCTCTCCCCTTCTCTCGTTATTCACCTTATAGTCCCTCACAATGATCATGTGGAAATATAAATTGTTTTTGTTTCTTTATCTTATTAAGTCCTTATAGAGGGAGGGAAGATTCCTACATATATACAAAGTTTGATGATCTGTGTCTAGCCAACGTGGGACTCCAACATGCCCCCTCAAATAGAGGCTAGGCGGTGCCCTCTAGATTGGAGGCGAAAGAGTGTGTCGAGTCTCTAGATGTGATAGACACCTACTCTGATAACACGTTAGGATATGTGGAACCCATTTGATTCTCTCTCTCTTTCTAAAAGACCCCTTATAGAGACATTGGAGGTTCATACATATATATATATATATATATATACACACAGAGAGGGAGATTCAGGAAACCCATAAAATGAAATACTGAGGAACACCCTGGTATCATTCATCTGGACAATATGCACATGTGCATACAAGTAATTGAAGTTGTTTCTTGGTTTTTATGCATGTATGCATGTTATGCACATGTGCATTACCGGACAAAATGCTTGCAAATTACTTGTATGCACATTTGGATACCGTCCATTTTTTTGCGGTTTTCCTTAAACCTGGCCCTATGTGTATATATATATATATGGGTTTAATGGTCCGTATCTAGATGATGTGGGAGTACTCATATATTTTATATTTATATTTGTAGGGACGCATTGATCCGTATAAAATGGTGAGTGTATTCCTTCCAGGAGGTAGAATTCCTGGGTGGTTTAGCAATCAAAGTATAGGAGATTGTGTAAAAGTGGATTTACCTCCCGACTGGAGTTACAAAAAGTTCAAAGGAATAGCAATTTGTCTTGTTTTTACTCCCAGAAATCCCGGCCGTCGCAAGAGCAGCTACGGTTCGATTGGATTTAGATTCAAAAACTTCGATGGTACTCCCATTGGTGGCGAGTTTCCAATTCCAGATTCTGTATTTCAATATGAAAACATAGGGATCAAGTCGGACCAGATGTTGTTGAGCTATCACCAATCTGAACCCGAGTGGTCGAGAGTGAAGAATTTCATTTTGGTTTCGTTTGATGTCTATGGTGCAGACTGTGTGGTGAAAATGTGTGGTGCGAGACTGGTGTGCGAGGAAGATGAACAACAAGAAAGTAGCGGTTCAAGAATGATCCAATGGCTCCCTCCACCTTCTCATGCCGAAGACGAGCCTCTACTTAAAAAGCGACACGTGGCATAATCAGGTTTTAAATATTTTAAGCACAATTTTAAAATTTTAAAATTTGTTATAAACTCCATGGATTAGAAACAATTCTTGAATTTTTGCTTCCATGAAGTACATTTTGGAAGTAATTTCACAAACAAAGGATCTGAGATGGCATGTAAAAGGAGTTATGACAATTTTACACATGTTAGCTATTTGATGTCTTTTACTCGAAATCTTGGTGATTATGGAAGTCAACAATTTGTTATCTTTGTTGAAACGGTTAAAACGTAAATGGTTACCGGAATTTAGAGCAGTTATTGGGCGGTTACGAGATGTTACAGAGCAGTTACAAGTGTCTACTGATCAACATTAATGATCAGTGGGTAAACAGAGATCATTTGATGCATCCACTGATTCGTGCCACTAGTTGCAGACACTGACCCTCATCATTGCCACTAAAAGGTTCATCGGTGTCACTGAGAAACTGCTAAATAACTATTGAAATTCACGTGACACCAAGATTGTTAGTGTCAACTCCTCTTAGACATTCAATGCCATACGAGACCACCTCAAGGGGCACAACCCCTTGACATCAAAGAATCCCGGGTTCTAGCTAGCTTATACAAGTGTGCGCTCTGCACCTTCTAACCCGTATTATGGCTTAACCGCTTAACTACCAATCCCTTCATTCTCTTGTGAATCCAGTTACACCAAATGTTCTGATGATTATCATCAACAAATATGATGCTTTATTTCAAAATAGCCGTAAAAAGAAGTTGTTGCTACGCTCAAAATAGTTCTATCAACTTATTTTAACACATTTACATGACTTATAAATTTTTGGTCCTATAAAGATAAGTCTTATAAAGTAGTCTATAAAGACATTCAAACATTTTTGATGTCATATAAAGCCAGTAATGTTGTAGAGAAATCACCTTGCGAATATAAGAAACCGTAAATCAAAAACTCACCATTAATGGAGGAAATTTCCAATGGTCGACGGCCATGGACGACTGATCTGATTTTATACGCTTGACCTCAGTTGTTAATATATATGGCATGCTTGTCAATACTAGTTTTTCAGACTTCTTGGAATCTTATGAATCTATCACAACTGATATCCAGATGTTTGAAGCTGCATTGATCCTTCTTCAACAAACCAGCTCTCCAACTCTTTCAGCTTCCACATTTTCAACAATCTAAGCTTACTAAACCCTCCTTTTCGGCAAACTGTTTCCTCCCCTTTTGTTGTAATTTCTGAATTACACTAATTTGATTTTATCTGCAACTGAATGACCTACCGTAGATGAATCCCATGACAAGTTGTGTTCAATTAGGGAATAATCCTTCAAGAAACTTGCTAAAGATCTCTTTGGGATGAATGAGACAGAGGTGTTCGATGAAATGCTTAAGAGATGTTTTATAGTGCTAATTTTGAGATTGTTGGTCGTCATAGTTAATTGAAAATCTTAATTGTAGGATATTTTTCTGTGATGCAAGGGCGAAATTTGAAGGACACCGAGGAGAAATGATAAGAGCAATTCACTGCAGGTCTCTTGATCTTTATAAGTGATTTGTTTATGAGTTTAAACGTGAAATATTTATTCCACATATGTTATCCAAAGTCTCTTGATCTTTTTTTTGTATGGTTTTGTAGTTTCATATATTGTCATATAATCTTGTATCCATATTGTACTGGCTTAACTGTTTGATAAATGTTACTTTTTGTAATTTATATTTACAACGTGATGAGGGAGGTTCAGTTAAAAACCCCACAAAAAATGAAAAATTGAGGAATACTGTGGTAACCATTCATCCGAATGGTATGTACATGTGTATATAAGTAATTGAAGTTGTTTCTTGGTTTCTATGCACGTGTGCATGTTATACACATGTGCATACCGGACAGATTGTTTCTTACATATTACTTACAAATTACTTGTATGGATATGTGCATACTGTCCAGATAAACGGTTACAAGGTGTTCCTCAGTTTTTCATTCTTTGATGGTTTTCCCCTCAACCTGACCCACAAGGTGCTATATGGTAATTTATTAATACAAAACACTTAATAAATAATCATATTTCATTCAAAACTAAATCATATTGCCACTTAAATCTTATCCAACTATACAATTTCAACCATATTCATAGCGAAAATTTCAATATTCTAAAACGCTTAACATTCTGAACAAGTTTTCTTACATCAAAAATCGTACAAGAAATTGTGTTACATAGTTCCATCTAAAGCTTAACATAAACAGCTAGACATTTTCTTCATCTAGCTAAGATACTTCAACCATCTTCTCTTTGACTTGTACTCTGACTTGGAAGCATGCACATGAATTGGGTCGTCCGGGTTTGAGCAGTTGATTAACTTAACTAGGGGTGAGCAGCGGAACCGGGTACCCGTTTGCGGAACCGGAACCGCCTTGGAATCGCCGGTTCCGGAACCGAAACCGATATGAGTGGTTCCGGTTCCGGTTCCTAAAATACGGAACCGATTGAGAACGGTTCCAGTTCCGGTTCTCAGTTTTTCGGAACCGTTACCCGCCGGGTACCCGGAACCGGCGGTTGTTTTTCAATAAAAAAATAATTAATTTTTTTCAATACCAAATTTATATTAGGTTACATTTTCAAATGAAGCGGTCATCTTCATTCTTTATCTACTTTCTAGTTCTACTAAACTACAGTTCGTAGTATGTAATCGTTAAGTTTTGAACATTTATAATTATCGTATATAATCATTAAACTTTGAACATTTTCTATTAGTCTATTATGGTTTGTAATCGTTAAAACAATACTTGTAACCATTATTCCGTATAATTTGTATTCTTGTTTATTTAATTTAGTGTTTTGACAATATTTTATTTTTATTTCTAAATAACAAAATTTTAATATTTTATAAAGCGGGTACCCGGAACGGGAACCGGTCCCGGCGGTTCTGGTTCCGGTTCCAAAAATTCAAGAACCGCTTTAACCGGTTCCGGTTTCAATATCTCAAGAACCGCCGATTCAGGTTCCTGTCAAAAAGGGCGGGTACCCGCCTATGCTCACCCCTAAACTTAACCCAACTACTACTTCGGCCTAGAAAATCCTAACCCATTGAATTTTTTATATATAAAACGTTGGATTGGTTGGTCGGGTTGACATAGTGTTGAAAACATGGTTAAATTAAAATTTAACACCTATCTAAAAACAAGCGAGTCAGGTATTAGTTGTTAGTACTTAACGAAAATATTACAATCATCCAAATATTAATGCAGGTACAAGATGTAACTCAAACAAACCCATGGATTCAGTATATCACACCTAATGTGAGCGTAGGCAAACCTAAGCTCTTCCTCAAAGTGTAAAGTGGTTTTCATGAAGATTCCTGACTTGTGAAAAGTGTAACAAAGAAAGAAAGACAAATATGATAAAGATTTGAAAAACTGGTTAAGAAAAAGCAATAACACACAAAATAAGCAAGTACAACACACCCCTAGTCTAAGGGGTTGTCTACGAACACAAACAAACTGTGTAAGCGCTTACCAAATAGCATAGTGTAAGTATCTCTTACCCTATAAGCACTAACCGGCTAAGACACCCACACTATTGGGTAAGATTATTGGTTAGCAAAATCACAAGGTAAGATTTTGGTAAAGACCATAATCTTTGACCAGGTAAGCATCTCTTACCCAGTAAGAGCCAATAAGAGTTTAGTTACCCAGTAAGAAGTTGTAAGTGTTTAGTAACCGCCCCTGACATACCAACCCTAGACACAAGACGTCAAGATAGATATTACAATAAAAGGTTTGAATTAAATTGAACTTCTCCAAGGTACGGATGATTTGGATTTAGTCTTTGGGGTTGCACGGGTTGAGTTGGGTTGATTGGGCCTAACCCTAACCCAACCTAACTAACTTGGTTCGTAGATTTTAGACATCGATTGAGATTCAAGTCGGTTCTGGTTGGGTTGGGTCATTTAGCCCTTTTATTGTTTGGGTTGGTTTGTTGGGTTTCTGTACACCCCTAGATCTGGGTTCTATTCTCCTAGAATACACATCACTCACATTAGTTTCCAATATCGCACTATTGTCAAATAAACAAGGTTTCATACTTATATAGTTACATTGGTTTGATTTTTAATGAGAACTAGGAGTTTAAGCTTAGCTATCTAATAATTGACATCTGATATCATAAATAATAACTCTGATGCCAACTTGTGACACCCATTGATCTTTGAACATATTGCACCTGAAATAGATGTAGTAGGATAAAGAACAAATAGCAATCCTCTTGAGAAACAATAAATATATTAGCAAAATTTGCAAATCGATAGCAATGATTAATTCAAACACTTAACAGACAACAACATTTTGTTTAATGTTAAATCATACAGAAGGTTAAAATGGTAATTTTCTTTCATTCAGACTTTTTGTTCAAAGCATTTGCGAAACAACCATTTTTCCATTGCGCACGAAATTATATGGAGCCTCTTAATCATTCTGACAATTTATTTATTCTGAATCAAATCATTCAGCTTTTACCAAACAGCCCCTAAGCTTAGGAACATAGAAAAAGAATATTCATTTTGAACAGATGACTTGCATCTGAGATTGCATACGCAAATCTAGAGATAGGTAAACGAGTCCATTTGCAACCATTACTGAATCAGTACCTGAAATGCTGGAGGCCTCCGGATTGCATGTTGTCACCCCCCGAATTTTTTTTTCTTTCTTTTGAGTGTCGTGACGTCATTCTTAATAACTTATGCCATGAGCAAATACGAACTTAAAAATTCAAACATATATAATGTGTTAAACATAATTCGTTACATAATTGCGGAAGCGTAAAATACTTTAACGTTATCAATGCTAATTAAATATCTAATCAAGCATTATTCAAAACATAGTCTCGTCTTTCTTCATTCAACTCGTCTACTGACAATTGATACCTGAGATATATACATGTATAGTATAGGCTAAAAGCTTAGTGAATACAATATGGTTTCATGATCACATGCATACATAAAACAGTGTTTTAGTGTATTTTAATTATTATCTTGCAAGTGAAGCCTCGACTCTTCACTTTTCTTTGCGTATGTGGTGTATTCTATAGACGAGGACTCCAAGACCTCAGAATTGCAAGCCCTTCTTTCATGTCCAACCCACCTCGTACGGTGGACGAATCTTGCCGTATCATACTAGTTGCATATCATTTATTTGCAATACTCACTCATTAATGCAAATCTCATCGTGACATGCAATATACATCTCATGCAAGTGACAACATAAATCACATATGCATCATCGTCATTTTCCACATTATACACATACTTGAATATCATATTGATAATATCAAGTCATCATAAACTTTCTCATCAACATCATCTTTCATATCATGCATATACTTAAATATCATGCACATCAATATAATCAAGTTATCATCATATGCATATAAACACATCATGCAAATATCATGAATAAAATACTTTTGTAATAATCATGTATATAGCCCATAAAAATCGCATAATGTATTCACCTTGAATCGTTAACGTTCGATAGGTCGTTCTCTCAAAAACCGCAACCTACATGATAATTTATATCATTCCTAAACATATTAAATAATCGTAATTAAATTGATTACTATTCCTTAACAATCTTAACACGACTTTTCCTTTTATTGATCAACYCCCGATAACATCATATCTCATGTTTCACTCCAATATTTTCTTGAAATATTATTAATAATATGATGTCGTTATAATTTAATTATTGCTCGTTCATTTTATAAAAATAAGCAATACACTTAACATTTTCTTGAACAATAAGTATTTTACCAAAATAACTAAACTATAGTTCACAACGTAAATAATGTTTTGCGATCAAAACATCTCTTTTAAAATTTATAAGTGAATAACAGTGAGAACATGTCACACACATATAAATAACGGTCATTCCATAACTTTAAAGTTCAACGTAATTAATACTCAAAATAATGTTTAGAATACCAATTTTCCAAGTCTAGGGACATTTTGGTAAATCGTAAGAAGCCGAATACCAAAGGTATAGCTTTAACCAATTCCCTAATTTAAAATATTTTTGGTATATTTCATACGTCGAATATTAAAACCGTGCTTAAAAGTCCAATTCCAAAGCATAGGGGCATTTTGGTAATTTTATTAAGCAATACTCAAAGTATTGTTAAAATACCGTTTCCCTAATTGTGAGGTCATTTTGGTAATTTTACAATGATAACAATCAAAATAAAGCTTAGATACCAATTCCCAATACACAGAGTCATTTCGATAATTTACAAGGCAAATACGTAAAGTATTGCTAAAATACCGATTTCCATATTGTAGGGTTATTTTGGTAATTTCATAAGGATTTTATTCAAAATAGAACTTAGATACCAATCCCAAGACATAGGGTCATTTCGGTAATTTTATAAAGCGAATACGTAAAGTATCGCTAAAAATACCGATTTCCACATTGTAGGGTCATTTCGATAATTTCATAAGAATTAGATTTAAAATAACACTTAGATACCAATTCCCAAGACATTGGGTCATTTCGGTAATTTATAAAGCAGATACGTAAAGTATCGCTAAAATACCGATTTCCAAATATAGGGTCGTTTTCGTAATTTTATAAAAATAATAATATAAAAATGAAGCTCATAGACCAATTTCCAAGATATATGGTTATTTTGGTAAGTTTTGGAAGCAAATACGCAAAGTATTGCTAAAATACCGATTTCCCACTTATAGGGTCATTTTGGTAACTAAATGAGATAAATAATCGAAACTGGGTCAAAGTTTGCATTTTTCAAAATACAAATAAATTAGATGAAAGTCTCATAAAGTTATTATAGATAAAATTACTTTCTAAAACTGCAGGGGGTTAAATGTTAATCTCTGAAACTTAAACGTTTAATTAATATTAATATAATCAATGCATTAGATTAATAAAACTCAATGACAGCTTATTGGTTAGCGCTTGAAGCATCAGGGTTGAGGTTGTGAGTTCAAATCCCGCCCTCAACGTCCTTATTCCCATTTTTTTCAAAAAATGTAAACAGACGCGTGCCAGACCCGCCAACCCGACTCGAACCGGGTTGCAACTCAAACAGAATCAACAGCCATGGCTGCGCGATTTTAACCTTTTTGAGCCCGAAAATGACTCGTTTCCTGATCATTGGTAATATTTTTACCAACATTTTGACATAAAAAACACGAATTTTCATCAAGAAATGAGTTCTATTTACTCATTTAAAGTTTGTTTTTAAAACTTAAATTTAACAACTTAAAAACATAAAAATCGAACAACGAAAACACAAATATGAGACATGAGGCTATTGGGGTTTGATAGAGTACTTAAAAACGAAGTCATAGACATAAAAATCAAGAGATTTGGTTAAGAATCTCACCCAAAATCGGTGAAAAACCGAGATTTTCGATTCCGAACTTCAAACTCATATTTATCTCTCTAAACTCAACGATTTTACTAGCTATTTGACTCCAAACGTTCTTAAGCCAGAGCTCTACGATTTATATGCCAAGAGTTTTGGCTTATTAGTTGAAGAAATCGGACAAATCACGAGTTTTAGGCTGATGGGTCGTTCTCTGTAAACAGATATGTACTATTGGCAAAACAGATCCCTCAACTTTGAAAAATATGACATTTTCTCCCCCGAACTTTCTAATATTTACAACTAAACCCCTCCCGACGTGATATATCACATTTTTGGTCTAATAATAAAAGAAAACAATTCTATTTTATTTTCATTTTTTGTCTTTCTTTTTATTGTTTATTTATTTAAGATTTCTACTTTATAATCTTTAATTAATTACATAAATATTTTAACATTTCGAATAAATTTAATAAAAAAAATATTTAAAGGCTTATGTAATATTATTTATATATTTAATAAAAAATGGGTTTTACACATGTCATGTGGTTTGTCGCACCAGAATAAAGAACCGGTAAGGGAAACATGAGGGAAGAAATGTCATGCAATGGAACGCAACCCCGCATAACAGGAATCGGTGGTTGAATGGTAAGAGTAGCCTTTCATAGTGGGCTATATATATATATATATGTGTGTGTGTGTGTGTGTGTGTGTGTTAACAGTATGCAGGTTCATATATGTCGACTGAGGAAGTATTTCGTGTGAAGTTTCAGTCTTTTTAACAGGGTTTCGTCATTTAAGGTACGAGGAAACTCATACTTTCATGTAGTCAAACTATTCAAACATGTAATGATCAAGAAAAGAGAGAAATCAAATGGGCCCGACTCCTATTTCATAAGAAAAGTATTAGAAGTAGAGATGAAACCTTTAAAGTCTTCTATGAATTCAGAAGGAAGTTTCTGTTCTATAAACATGGAGATATTAGCAAGTTGGTAGGAAACTTTTCTGGTATAACTATGTAAAATACTGCTAAAAAGTATGGGAAAGACTTTTTCTTGGTCTAATCTTGTTGACTTTAGTATGTGAACAAGGAAAATGTAAATCCAATTATGGTCAAAATTGTCAATACGGACCACCACCACCACTACATTGGCCGGTGTTCAAAAAGGCACGCCATGGCGTAAGATACGTCTCAGTCGTTATGACAAGGCTTGTAGCATTTGTGTAAGATGCGGATCATGCCATCGCATACGTTTTTTTACAATGCGTGACTTTTTTCGTAAAAATATTTTATTTTTTTAATTAATTTAATTTTCTTATTTTTAACTTCTGTTTTTACACTTCTAAAAATTTTCCTAATCACATCACTCACAATTTCATGGATTCACACATCATGCACCCATGGTTAAAACGAAGTTGTAAAATCCTTCCAAGTTCTATTTTGAATATTTGGTTCTTTATGTAATACGAATCGATATATATGATTTTTCTTCTTCTGATACGATTGTGACAATTTTAATATCATTATAATTGAATAATAAATAGAAAACATATATGTTCATGTATAATTATATATATGACATACATATTTACCGCCTTATGTCATGCCTTGAAAAACATTGCCTCCTCAGCATGGCGTGTAAGGCTTAAGGCTTAAACTTGCCGTCATGTCAAGCCTCCTTGCCATTTAGAACCTTGGCACCGGCCTCAGGAGTTGGATTCAAAAGTCATCCCTCTATGCATGAATGACTTTAGTTTTCATTCTGCACATGCCAGATCAAATCCTGGAATGACGGTTCGACCCCGTCCTTTCCTTTGTTGAATCAAGAATAGCCAACTCCACTAAATGCTTTTCCCAGCTCTCCCGGAAAAGGAGGTGATCCAGCCTAAGTCTAAATATTTCTGCCAAGAGTTTCTTGCTGGGACCTTTTTTGGTAACCCATTTCTAAATATTTTACAAAACTTCACCCAGAAATTGTGATGGAGTTTTCTTGGTAATTATGAGACAATATACCACACTTGCATAGTTTATATGTATATATACACACACACTTTGCTTTCCTTCATCAATACACAATCAAGAATCTGGTTTAAGAATTTCAGTTATTGACACCTTTTCCTTAAGTGAATTTCTGTTTAAACAGTTGAAGAATCTTGTAAGTTTTTGTGTTTTGGTTCATAAGTTAATGTTCTATTTTTGTTTTATAATTGATTGCTCTTACCATGTTGTTATAAATGTATGCTGAAGACCAACTTTTCTGGTAAACATAGCATGGTTCTCCATCTATATTGAAGTTGCAGCTGGCTTTCTTATCTTTTTTACTTCTTTTCGGTCATAGGTTCAATCATGCTCGAAGATGATAGAGCGTTACTCCAGTTGATACCGGATGATGTTAAAAAGGTGTGGCATGAGCAGGCACTGCGAGGATTGATACTCGTCAGCATTACTTTGCAGATCATGTTAAGTCTACTTGGAAACATTCGAAAATACAATCCAAGAACTCTAGTCAGAACCACTCTCTGGTTCGTCTACTTTTTGGCATATGCAGTTGTACCAGTAGCCTTAAATATTGCTGCCCAAAGTGCCTTAGAAGTATGCAAAATTAACACCCCTAATTGGGAGCTCATGTCTTTCTGGGCACCATTTCTCCTTCTTCACCTTGGTGGTCCGGACTCCATTACTGCCTACTCCTCAGAAGACAACAAGCTTTGGTTAAGACACTTGGTGTTTCTGGTTTTTCAGTCACTAGTAGCTCTCTATATCCTCTTGTCATCTTGGCCAGGTTGCTCTCATCTCCCGTTACTAAGCATATTCGTTTATGTAGCCGGTTGCATCAAATGTTTTCAACGTCTTCAGGCTCTACGGTTAGGAAACACTGACCATCTCCGTGAATTAATGCTTGGTCCCGCTGACCCTGGTCCTGACTATGTCCAATTCCTGGAGGACTTCCGATTGAAAGAGTCGCAAGGTTTCATTGTGAAGGTTGAGGAGGTTGTGGAGCCTGCTCTTCCTGTTATTCATGCATCTCTTGAAAGCCGGTGTAAGGAAATACTTGAAGCATATGATCTGTTCCAAACATTCAAGCGGCTTTTTGTTGATCTCATACTCACATACGAAGATAGGGATAGAAGCACATCCTATTTCCGCCTTCTTGATTCAGCTCGTGAAGCTTTTCGGGTTGTTGAGATTCAAATTGGATTTGCATACGACAAGCTTTACTCCAAGGCACATGTGATCTATACTTACAAGGGACTCGTACTTCATGCTACTAGTGTTTTTCTCATTCTTCTAGTACTTTTCGGCTTCCATTTTTACAGGGATACACACAATTCCGAGGCCATTGATGTTGCCATCACTTACCTACTAATTGCAGCAGCAATTTTGAAGGAAATCTTCGCGGTTATTACCATGCTTCGTTCAGATTGGACCGATCTCTGGTTGAACCAACATAACCACACTCGTAACATCCTCATATTCCCATTCCTAAAGCACCCGAGTAAACAAAGGTGGTCGAATTCCATTGCACAATTAGACCTACTAAGTGTTGCCCTTGGGGAGAAGCCAGCTCGTTTTTTGCCAACTCATAAACTCTTTGGTGTAGATAAGTATTACCAGACTTATAGAGAAGTTTCTGACAACCTGAAGGACATGATTTACAGACATTTTTGTGATCTACAAGCATCTAGTATTCACAAAGGTAGTTTTTCGCTTCAAAAGAATGATTGCAACACTCTTATGTGGAGCATCGATGAGGTGAAATTCGATCAGAGCATTCTTATCTGGCATATAGCTACTGCTCTTTGCTATTACTCAGAGGTTAACGTTAATGATCCATTTGAAATCAACCGCATTGAAAGCAAGAACATATCTGAGTATCTAGTGTATCTTCTCATTTCAAACCCCGAAATGCTGCCAATGGGTATTGGAATAATCAGGTATCGTGACACATGTGTTGATGCCATCCGTTTCTTCAATACAAAAGGTCTGATCACAGAAAAAGCTGAAGCCAGCAGAAAGCTGCTTGAAGTTGATTGTAAGGAATTGTTGCCTAGTATAGTGAAGGGGGATCGATCCAAGTCTGTATTGTTTGATGCTTGCAGACTCGCTTTAGGTTTAAGAGATATGGAAAGGGGACAGATGTGGAAAGTGGTGAGTCAAGTATGGATCGAGATGCTAGCTTATACCGCTGGTCAATGCCGAGGGTTTCACCATTCGCAGCAGCTTGGGAGAGGTGGTGAATTTCTGACTCATGTTTGGTTTCTGATGGCACAATTAGGCATGACAGATCATTTCCAGGTATCTCAAGGCCATGCTAAAGCTAGGTTCAATGTGTCATAGAGATAAACTAAACCAAACCAAACCGACCCAATGATTCTCACTCGAAAGTAGGTCTGAGGTGTGAGTTGGCAGACATGTAGAGCGGTTGTATCATAGGCATAACTATGGCACAATTAGGCACTCTCTTCTAATATTATTGTTATTTTTGTAAATTAAGCTTTGTGTTTGTAAAGTTGTGCTACTCTGTTTATCCATACAAAAAAGTTCGCCTTTTTCACTCGGTACACATTCATAGCCGTAGACTTATTGTTTGCACATTAAATTTGTACACTTTGATCCAAAAATGTGTTGCAAATTCTATTTGCTATGCTAGTAATATGGTTGTTGTTTAATTTGCTATTGGAGAAACTATGTATTGTATTTGTGAAAATATGATTGTGTAGTTATGTAGAATGTTGGATTGCTCTCCAAGACCAAAAGAGTCGTTGAGGAGAGAAGGAATGTTTCAACATATATCGAGGAGAAATAGGCAAAGTTTGTGGGACTTTAACACACCCCTTCCAATGGCGGCTAGACGGGCACAATATCGTTCTAGAGTGTCAAGATGGGGCTAGACAGGCATGGATTGTCCTAGAGTATTGAGAAGGGGTCTAGACAAGCACATATTGTCCTGGAGCTTCAAGAGGGGACTAGTTGGGCACATATTGCCCTCAAGTGTCAAGAGGGGGCTAGTCGGGCACATATTGTCCTAGAGTGTCAAGAGGGGGCAAGACGGGCACATATTGTCCTTGACCCAACTCATATCGTACCAAGAACTTACCATTGAAGGGGGGGGGGCATAAAGGCCTTACCCCTGAACATTAAAAAAGCTAAAACTCAATTTCCTTAGTCCTTTTTCTGTGAAACAAAGCCAATCCCCGTTCTTTCTAGTGGCTTTTTCCCGTCCCTTTTGGAGCAGACCCATTGAAGATGAGAGTAAGTGTCACGAGGCAAGCTAGACGAACACATATTGCCTTTGAATGTCAAGAGGGGGCTAGACGGACACATATTGTCCTAGAGTGTCAAGAGGGGCTAGGCGGGCACATATTGTCCTAGAGTGTCAAGAGGGGCTAGGCGGGCACATATTGTCCTAGAGTGTCAAGAGGGGGCTAGACAGGCACATATTGCCCTTAAGTGTCAAGAGGGGGCTAGACGAGCATACTCTCTTAGAGTGTCATGAGGGGGCTAGGTAGGCACATATTGCCCTAGAATGTCAAAAGGGGGCTAGACGAGCATATTGTCCTAGAGTGTCAAGATGGGACAAGACGTGCACAGATTGTCCCAAGGTGTCAAGTCCCTAGAGCTGTAGACTTTGGCTCTGAGACCATATGGGAATATGTGGACCCATTAGATTAAAAAGGGAAGTTCCAACATGCATAGAGGAGAAATGGTTAAAATCTAGTAGATGTGATGTGGGATTACAACAGGTGACCTGGTGAAACGACAGTGCACCAAGGCTTGCAAACTATGCTTTGTGAGAACCAAGAAGGAAGTCTTCATCAAACACTTTTTGCCATTTGCATGTTTGCCAAGACACTATATATTAACTCAAACCTATACGTACCTAGGTTGTAGATGAATAGCCATGGGAGAGAGTTAGCTAGGTATCCGAGTCAAGTAGCGGGATGGGGTACTTCGGTTTAGTTCATGTGTCGGGTTGAGTAGTTGTTTCGTACTTCTCTTTACGCTTTTTTCCTACTATTTACTATGAGTACTTGCTCTAATTGCTCTTAAGTGACACTTCTAAACTTGGGGAGGGTGTGAGGCATGTTGCCCGACCCGGTACACCCCAGACGCTAAAGTATGTGCTCTACATAATTGTGGTGGCCACAAGTGTAGGGGGCAGGAATCGAATAGGGGAAGATGGTGGGATGCATCCTCATCCTCCGAGGCATCAGCCAACACAACATCACCCTTGTGATTGACACTTCAGAACTCAAATTTCTTGCTTTTTGACATACAAAGAATTTTTATTTATTTATCTTTGCAAGTTGGTCTTTACGGAAACGGTCTCTTTAATCTTAGGCCTGATCCGTGTGGAATTTACTAAGTTTATTTAGTTTTAAAGTAATCTAGCATTTATAACTAGTTGTAAATCCCAACACCTTATATTAAAGCATATTCTGAACCACAAGGGTGATGCCCAATTGGTTTAAGCTTGGGCTCCAAAGGTCAAAAGTGCCTAGAAGTCCCAGGTTCGAATCCAATAAGGAATAAAAAGTCCCCTTGTGGTCATGTAGGTTCAAATGCGACGACTAGGGATGAACAAAAAACCGTCAACCCGCGAAACCCGCCCAACCCAACCCGCTAACAACCCAATTAAACCCAACCCATCTACCCGCCAAACCGCCCACCCGCCAAACCGCTAACCCGCTAATTAGGAGGGTTGAACTCAACCCGCCCAACCCGTCAACCCGCCGCTAATATATAATTTTTATAAAATTATATATATATATATATATATATATATGTATGTTTATTATGTATATATATATATATTAATATATAAATTTTATATAATTTTTATTGATATTATATTTTGTTTCATTCTAACTAAACGTATAGGTTACCAAAAGAGATTCACGATCAAAGAATGATGACAAATAATCTAATTAATAAGGAAAATTATTGATTTTTTTTTTTGCAGCAACAACAAATTAATATGTTGAAAAATATAAATGATATTGATAGATATTTGATGGACGAATCCATCAATCTATGACGCTTTTAAAGAGTTACATTAGAAAAATGTCTTATCTAAAAGAGTTCCAATATGTTTATAGGATAGTTTTGGACGTCTTAACAAATTCTATGATGCTTTTAAAATAAAGTGTCGTATTAGTTATTTTATACAACACGACTTGAAAAATGTCATATGAGCATAGGTGTCCTATAAATAGATGAGTTTACGGGACACTTCTCAAAATGTTTCTATAAAATAACTAATACGACATTTTATTTAAAGATCATTCTAAAACACTTGTTGAAACGTCAAAAAACGTCCTATAAACCTATTGCAACATTTTTAGATAGAACGCTTTATAGTATGGTCTATAAACTTAAGATTTATGAATTATTTCATTCGTCAAATTATGTAACTAATAACCCGCCAACCCAACCCAACCCGCCTCAACCCGCAAGGGTTGGGTTGAGTTATACTTTTGAATGGGTTGGGTTGAGTTGAGATTTTTCAAACCGCCATAATTGGGTTGGGTTGTAAAATTGTTGTAAACCGCCCAACCCAACCCGCGTTCATCCCTAGCGACGACTTCAGTCTATCTACGAAACGGATAGTCGCCCTAGAATTAATCAACTTGCATAGCTGGTTGGATATCTAGGTTAATAAAAAACCCCGTATTATGCATGTTATATATTCATCATTGTTATCATTATGACTAACCAATAAGTATTATTTGTCTTTGAGGACATGTAAGACATTAATTAATGTTAAACATTATTTAAGAAACGATTAAAATATATTAACATCGAATATAAAAGATAAATTAAAATAATAAAGTGAAAAAAGTTGTGTTATAATGGAGGTTTTCAAGTTTATGTAATATTGACAGAGTCGTAAGAAAATGAAAAAAAAAAGCTACAAACATATATTGTACAGGATGCAAGACTTGATGCATTCTATATGAAAAAGACATAATCAGAGTTAAATTTTAAGGTTTATATTTGGCGTTTTTTATCTAATAAGCCCGAAACATTTATAAAACTTAGCAAAAAAAACTAGAAATACAAATGCAAAAAACAACCGTAAAAAACCAAATAGCAGAAATTGGAAACTCACAGTTTTGCAATGGCAATTGTTGTATGAACAATGGGGAGCTGCAACTACAAACAATACACCAATGGGTCATTGGTTCGACGATATCCGGATTATCAGTAGAACCCAATATTACTGTAGATCAAAGATTCAAATATCATTAATGATGAAAACTGTATGAGTTTTAACGTACATAAATATACACATTCAAACAAAAAAAACCTATGAAAAATACATTTTGGTTTATGCTCATCTAACATTTATATAAAAACCAAATGGCAAGATTAAAAGACCAAGTCCTCGTTGACCAGAGTCAACTTTCATTTTTTAACACTTTCCTGCAACTTTCACATCATTCATTGGAAAGCAAAATGTAGGTTGATCGGGTCTAACTACTATATATACATTTAAAATTATTTATTATAATATACAATTAAAGAAAAATGGGTTGTAAATAATTTATTATTAATTCAAATAATATGAACACAAAATTATGAAGTAAATTTACCATCCATGTTTTTGTTTTCTGCCCATTTTTGAATATTATGTGATCAATTTATCTATCATGTATCATGTAATTATAGAAGGATTAATTTATATAACAGATATACTATCAGGAGTTAATTTTGAGGGGAGATTGGAACTAACCAGCTTACTTTTTTATAACCGTGGATATTCGGGTCAGTTTGTGTACAACTCGGCTAATTTTATATAGCCTTGAAGCTAGCAAAACCCAGCTGTGACCATGAAGGAAGTGGGAACTCGAATACCCAAAGTCTGAATGGTTGAGCTACCTTAAGAAATCTTCCACATATCATGGTGTTCCATGTCTTCACAATATTCTTTCAGAGACATTTCATCAAACACTTTATAAGCATCAATCATGTGACAACATTTACCATACATTTTTCACTATTGAGGTTCCCACCACTCAAACAATTTTGAGCGTAAATTAAAAGGGATTCTTCTGGTGTAAGATTAGGGAGATGAATTGCTACCCCATTAGCAGAAATATGATACTTTTTGGATTAATTAGGTGTCTGTCTGAAGATTACTTTTCAATTCTGAAGTAGACCCAAACTATGTTGAGATCATGATCATAACCAATGATAGATGATGACATATTTAATGATGATAAGATCATAAGATCCGTTTAGTTCTTTCAAGAAAGGTGTTGCAGAACATAATACATACTTACCTAGTAGAACTCAATTCTGTTTAGAGTCGTTGTATCCCGGAAAATTAACGC